ATCTAGCTCTCTATCTATCTAGCTCTCTAATTCACTATGAGTAAATTTTCTTCCATTATTATGATTATTATGTTTCAAGCAAAGAACATATTTTGTAAATGGGAAATTGTAGATTAATTATCAGAAAAATGCATTGAGGGTAACTTTTCTGTTTTCTTAGGGGGGGTTGTTCAGGCTTTATTTTTTTTTTTTTTTTTGGTTTTTTTTTTTTTTTCAGTTCTCTCTGGTTCAGATTGAGTTTCATGAACTGCATTAATTTCAACTTGTGTTTCACAGATCACATTCTTTTCGCTTAAAGTCCAATCACCCTTGACAATAAAAATGTTGCTAACGTATAGCAGACCAACCCGCTACCAGAAGGGAAGAGAATGGGATCTGGAAATGGCAATTTGAAAAGAATAGACATAGCATAAGTCAATCTGAGAAATGGAATTTTGAAGAAAAGAAATGGAGAAAATATAAAAATCTGTTAAAGCCAAGCATTTATAAAAAAAAAAAATTGGAAAAAATAAGATAGAAATAAGAAAGAATAAGAAAACAATAAAGTTACTCTCAAACCTTTCTTTTGAGAAGTTTCTTTCAAAGTTTCAGTTTGGGATTGCTTTTTTTTTTCATTTACAAAACCTGTGCTTGAAACAATAATGGAACAAAATCAACTCCATATATGTGTAACAGTTGAAAAACTAAATCACCTCCTACTGCTTTCTTAAAATCGATATGGAGATTGGACGACGAGTATTATATAATAAGGCAGAAAGGCACCAGTCGACTTTAACAAAGTAACTGCAAAACAACCTGAGAAAGATTATAGGCCAATTTAAAAAAACGTGAAAATTATTTGAGGCTGAAGCTATTGATCATTGTAGTGACCAAATTATTTGTCAAACTTTTTACAATTTATCAATACATCTAAAGAAAGGAGCTCTTAATATTCAAACATACCTTAATCAAGAAGTGTCTAAACTTAAAAAACAAATTTGCAAAGAAATTCATTTATGTGCTCAGAAATGTGACTTGAGGAGTTCTGGATAGAGATGTTTTAAAGATAAACTGATTTATTAAATAGTTCAGGCTTCAATAATCGATTTATCACGATCAATAAGCAAGTTCTCAGAAGTTAATCCCATGGCCAGTGCTGTCCAAAATTCCAGAAAAGAAAATCCCCATAAGCATGTTTAATGTCAACATTTAGGTTAAGATTACCAAGAGATAGTCTGTTTACTTAAAAAAGTTTGAAGCGCAATTAATGAGATTTGTGATAATATATGATTATGAGACCAAAGTAGAGATAAATAAAAATAATATGCAGCTCCACAGAAGGTGAAAACCAAGCAAAGCAAGAGGACATTACAATGCACAGTGGTGGAACAGTAATGATGTGGGCTTGTGTTTTTTTCGTTTTTTTTTTCACTATGTTGTTTAGTACTTGGACTATATAGATTAAGTCCAACACTGCGATCACTAGTATAAGTATTGATAAGGACGTTACATCTATTATCTATCAGTGGCTTTAGCTTCTCTTCCTTAAAAACCAACATTCAGAAAGTACGCCCAGCTTTGTTCAATTCTTTCCTCTCTTTTAATCTTTTTTTTTTTTGCTTTTTTTCCCCACTGGATCAAAATATTTGTACTTTTGTTACTTGACACCTCTGATTATTGGCGTATGAATTTGAAAAGAAAAACAAATAATGTGCCTATTTGCCTTTAAACCAAGGGGGTGGACTTAGTTTTTCTCTGTCAATGCAGTCATGGATACTCTCTCTCTCTCTCTTCTTTCCATGATTGTATCAATCCACATTATGTTGCTGAAAGTATTTGCTCTGCCACCAGAAGGTTTGAATTGAGGTGTTTTAATCGCATTCATGGCCACCGCGGTAGGGAAATCAGAAAATCTGCATGCAGATGGTTTCTACAAACACTTATCAGAAGCTCAGTGACTTCCAGAACAGGTATGCTACCTGTGCAGCAAGTTTAACTAAACTCAAATATTAGTGGTAGAAAACCCAATTGGAAACAACATAGTAATGACATAGTAATGAAAGGCCCCATGAAATGAGCAGTCCTGAGGGACGTAACGGGCAAAGGGCGATAACATTCTCAGTCTCCTTTGCTACAGACCTCCAAATCATACACAAATGGACCAACCTACTGGTTCCCCTCATTTAATAAAAGAAAACTTACAATTGTCACAGAAACAACTTGAATCTGACAAAAAGGACTCGGACAAAAATTCTATGAAAATGAACAAACGAAAGTCATACGTTGCTTTTCAACCAGGGGTGTCCCGATGCAGCAATATCCACCATTGGTTTCGAATTTAGCTAAAAAATTAATATTGGATTCTATCGGCCGGTATTTTCATGACAGACAGACACTGCTTCTGTTAAAGTTTCTTTAACCCATTAGTTTTATATGGGTCAGCTGTTTCCATACCTGTTATTGTTGACTTTTGTTCCCTGTACAAAAGTGTACAAGGAGCAGTGTACAAAAGGCCTACTCTGAATTAGAGTAATGATAGCTCTAGTTGGATAACAAAGAGGAAAAACCTGTAACCATTCCAGCCAACTTCAGTTTAACACTCATGTGCTCTTTATCATTCGTCTGATGGTTTTATGCTTTGTACCTGTGTTTCGAGAGAGCTTGGGTTTTGTGCTGGACATAGAGAGACAGGCTGTTCGGTGTGACGCCACACACCTGCAGCTAGCCATAACTTTTACTAGTTAGTCACCCCGCTGCAACTGCCGTCACACCGTGGGGCGATAAGTAGCTAGATTACCGTAAACACCCAACAGCTTCTTACCTGTCACCATGCTAAACTAAGGCTGTGTCCGAACGTCCGCCCTAATCACTATATAGGGCTCTATATAGTGGTTACGCCATTTTACATGAGTGTTCGAGCATCTAGTGGATGAATAAGTAGTGGACTCAAAATTTCCTTTGAAAAGTAGTGATCATCTATAGTCGCTAGACCAGCAGATATATCCCAGATTCCAAAGCATCATGGGATTTGTTGTTGGGACGGCTTTACAAAGATGGCATAAGCACCATGAGGGGAGGCAGCATTATGTGAACAACAGGGACCGAAAAGTAGTGATCGTCTGTCCCAACTGTCAGTTAACTGAGCTCACTCTATATATTGACTGAGGGATTTAGGGATTTAGGGATTAGAGCGGATGTTCGGACACAGCCTAGATACCCAAAGATATATGGGCATCTTTAGAAGTTGGCTTGATCAGTTAACACTATAACCTTTGCATTATAGCCACTTGCAGGTGATATTAGACACATCTATTCAATAGTTGTAGGATTAAGGGCTGGTTATACTCCCGGCAGCAGTGTGTCCCAGTGAGCTTGATGCAGAAATTTTTTGATTTATGCGCAAGAGAATTAGGAACTAGCTGTGGGTCTAGATACGGCCGAGGCGGCGAGGAAGTCGGGGCGAGATTGTTCGACAAACGGAGGGACATGAGGGCAAAAAAAGAGCGGGGATCCAGGTAAAAAAAAAAGGGTTCCCGGCTTTTTGGGTTCTTTCGCTCTTCTAGCTGCTTAAATTTCACAAGTTGTTTTCCGCAATTGCAATGATTAAAAACAAAACAAGCCGGCCTCCTGTCTGCGGCACTGTCTGCGGTCACCTTCAATTTGGGAGAGGTGCAGCAGAGAGTCTGCGATGGTGGCGGGGACGTCTTTTTGTCCACTGCTTCACCTACGCAGACGACCTAGTTTCGAAGAACTAGTTTCTGATGCATTTGACTTTTGTTCATCTGTAAAAGGTTTTTGCTAATTCAGTGGCTCAGTACTTGGACTTAGGTGTGAAAAAGGGCAGAGTTTGGCAAATTTCCTTTTGAAAAAATGGTAAAAGATTCCAAAAAACAGTCTCCAAAACCTTATGGAAAGCTCTCCCAGAAGAGTTTGATGATTGATTGATTGAACCTGGCGGCAGATGAGCAAATAGTTTTGGTAATATTCTGTATCCATGAAACCAGGGTAGCTAGTGAGCTAGTTTTCTATTTCTATCTCCTAACTTAGATACTTAGTACGTTTTCTTAGTATAAATAGATATAAGCAAATATCCTCAGTCAGATTTTAGTAATGGGGGCATAACTAACCTTCCTCTCCACTTGTCAACTTGCCCCAATCACTCCATTCCTCAACTTTTATCTCTTCACCTTTCGTCCCCATTGGCTTTCGCGTCTGTCCCTGTCTCCTCCCTCCATCCCCCTCCCTCCCTTCCACGTGTCTCCAGGTCAGCCTCAAATCAGACCCATGAGAGACATCACAGCAGTGGCAGGCAGAAACACGTATATAACGTGCCGCGTGATCGGGTACCCATACTACTCGATCAAGTGGCTGAAAGACGGCATGCAGCTGCCTGATAATCACCGTCAAGTGGTGTTTGAGAACGGCACCCTGAGGCTGACGGACGTGCAGAAGGGCGCCGACGAAGGGACATACCTCTGTAGCGTTTTGATCCAGCCCCAGGTGTCAATCAACCAAACCGTCCATGTAACGGTTAAAGGTAAGAGTAAGAAGATATAATTATCCACCATAAAGGGCTGAATTACACAGATTTACATTTACAAAGGTGTGTAAAAACATTTTTACACACAGATGCACTTGTCACAGGCATACACAATGTCCGAGGTTTCACTGTTTTTAATAGCCTTCAATGCTCTTTTGTCCAGAATACCTTATTGCAGGAGTTTTTTTTTTGTTTTATATTATCTTTATCGAGTGATGTCTAAAGACATAAAATTTAAGGAAACACAATTTGAATCTCACATAAAAAAAAAAAAACTCAATTTAAAGTCGTAGGGAAGTCATATTTAAATTTCAAATCATTCTGGCTTAAACATGTATATAAATGTATTCTTTAGCAGACAATATTGTCCCAAAAGTTAAAAAATTTCTATTTAAAAAAAAATCCTGTCTTAAAATCTGTGGGGGGGGGGTTTCGTTATTTTATGCAGGCCAGTTAGTTATACTTCAGCTTGTACACCTAAATTTGGCCAATCATATATCAACGATCATATGTCAATAAAAAATTTTCAGTCATAGCACCTTGATTCATATGTCGCAGCTAATATACGCAACGGTTGAAATAAGAATAATTTACTTTATCATTGAGTTCCGTCCAAGTTTTCACGGGGATGGACGTCTGTGTCTTCGGCAGGCGTAGAGCTAACAGAACTGGCAGCGTTGCGAGGCGAGGGCTCAGACATGTACAGCTGTAAGCCTTCTACACCAAACCAAGCTTCTGCCGCCCTGGCGTCCTCTTCCACAACATCTTTGTCCCAGCTTTCCTCTTCTAGATAAAAAAATGTTTGACGGAGGAGACTTGTCCACAACCTCCAACACAAAACTCTCCTCCTCTTGCATGTTTCCGCTGCCCATAGCATTCCTTGACAGTGTCGTTGCTAAGTGCTACTTGGTCCCAATGTAATTTCCCATTGGGAACCTACTAGCACTAAGTTGCTAACTGGTTAGCAAGATGCTTCAGAGACATCGGCCACAATCAAACTTGCTTGCGAACCTTCTGCCACAACAATCCCGCCCTCTTGATAAATGACCAATCACATTCACTTTATTCACTTGTGTAAATTCGGGCACCACTAGGGAGAATTCGGAACCTTTGGAACAGCCGCTTCCCTACGACTTTAAAGGAAAACATATGGAGAGAAATGTATTCCAACATCACTAAAATTAAAGAACACATTTCAAAACAGTCAATTTGAAGAAAATGAGTGTCAGAAGTTCAACTTTATTTTTGTTATTATCATTAAAAAGGTTTGAGATTAATTTATAATGTGCATGCAAAATTACTATGGTTTTTAAATGTTGTACATTTTATGGGATCTCATAATCCAGGTGTTCTTTCTTTAGATATTTTTTTACATCCAATTTTTTTCAGATTTAATTTGTAAGACTGAGTTTTATAAATTGTATTGTTTTTGAATCTTGTTTTACAAATTTCACCCTCCACACTTCTGGATGATGTGTGATTCGACCAATAGAAATAAGTCGGCCCAGTTTGGGCTTTAGCAACAGCATTTCTATTGGTCAGACCTCCGAAGGCCAGATTCGAATGCGGCCCTGAGGTCTGGTCGGATTCCAAGATTCCTTGTTATGCAGCCTATAAATGTCCTTCTTTTTGCCAAATTTGAAGGATAAGTGCCGTGTATCCTAGCTATCCTTGGTTTTCCCAGTATTCATTGCGAGACCAGGCAAGCCGGCTGGTCTGTGATCAGTGGAAAGGTTACTTGGCGCCGAACAGTGCTAAATACTGGAAGTTCAAGTTAATATAATATATGTATTCGAATAGTTCCGTCTGAAATGAACGGAAATAGTTGTTTTAATGATTATTGAGTCAGATATGTGGCGGTAATGTTTGATTTATCTTAAGGTTACTGTGCAAATGTGTTTGGCTGTAATTTAAGGACAGATTCTAATATATCTGCAGTGTGGGGATTATAAATCTGATATGATTTTTATGTTTAATTGATATTTTGCACAATTGGCTTTACTAAGTATTTTTTGTTGTTGAATATAGGATATTTTGCAGATATATGTTTTATACATACATTGTCTAGATTTACTTATATCTTTCTACCCTTTTAGAATAGAATAAAATAGAAATTCTCTTTATTGTTCCACAATGGGGAAATTTACAGCAGCAAAAAGATTATTGAAAAAAATGGTCAAACAAATGTGGACCTTAGAAGAATGTTAAAGAATAACATAATAGTAAAGAGTTGAAATATAAAACATAAAATACTGTACTGTAAAGTGTTTTTTACAATATAAAACTGCACCTGGAGAATAAATAACAGTTATGGACATTTTTACAGTAATGGATATTAGAAAATGAGATGTGCAAAATGACAGCAGCATGTTATTTAACTGACTATATCATTACATTTTGCTTTTGTTTGTTCATGCTCCTGAAAGTTAGCACCGTTTTTCCACTCTGTATCCTCATGAGTGTCGTCTTTTTTTCACTTTACAATAAAAAAAAATGTAAAAAAAATAAATAAAATTAAAAATAAAGTTTTGAAAAGTTCAAGATTAATTCTTTTCCTGCTCTGTGTGTCAACTATCATGGTTGCTAAGCGACAGAGCATAAGGCGGAGAAAGCAGCTGAAGGCTAGACCTGTTTGAATTCACAGCCAAACTCTTCTGGTCTCCTTATTTTCAAGGACTTCGAAGGATCCAGTCCAGGTAGACCACATTCTTCGAAGACGCAGCCTATAAATTCTAACAGAGCAAATATCTGTCAGATGGGATTTGAAAAGAATGTAAATTGCTAACTAAAAAAATCTTTAAAAATAAAATAACATCTAAAGAAACACAAACAAAAATAAAAATAAAAAATCTAAAGAAAAAAACAGTAGACTGTAAAAAAAAGTTGAACATTTGCATAAACATGAATTTTTTTTCTTTTTTGAAAAGTTGCTTTCAGTAAATACATTTATTTTAACAATTCTTTATCAATGAGTTGCTGAAACTAACGATTATTTTTGTGATTAATCGACTAATTATCACATAGCAAAAGGTGCCTTAAAGAATATTTAATGCAGAATTTAAATCAGTTCAAGCCACAGTGATGTTGTAGCAATACTTTAGGAGTTCTGAATAGAGCATATTCACAATTAAAACAGGTTTTCCATTTTGAATGCACTTTTTTTTTAATAACTGCTCTAACTAGGTGGGGCTGGCAGCTAATCAACAGCTGTAGATTTAAAAAATTACTACATTAGTTGACTATTTTTTTTAATCGCAGATTATTAAAATCTGATTGTTTCAGATCTAGAATCAGGCTGCCTGCTCGGTCATCTCAGACCAAAACAAACCTGTGGAGAAAGCCGAAGAGAAGAGCAGACAGACAGTGGAGGATCTAACCTTGAGAGACCTAAGCTCTGTTAGCTAAACCTAACTGTTTCAACTTAACTACCGAATAGTTTTTTGGTTTTCTGAACACCTGTGCTCAAATTAAACGAAGGATTATTTATTTTTTCTTGGCTGGGCTTTCCATAAATCGCTACCAGAGGCAGATCACCATTTGAGAATCTTTCAGATGGCTCCTGTGATAAACCCAAACTAATCACCACATGGGAAATGTTTCACCCATGTTTCTGAAGCTTATCTGAGTTGTTTCTTTTGTAAATCTGTGGTTGTTTCGTTCAGCCTGTGAGTCGGCTAACGATGGTAGCGAGCAGCTGCAGAGGTGTTTTAGGGTGTGTGCATGCGCCTGAGTGTGAGTGTGTCTCTGATTTAATTAGATGAATAATAATGAAGCCTAGATTAAATCCCCCAGATGTCTCAGCTGTAGTACCCCCACCCTAACCTCCATCGCTATGGCAACGGAATGACTTCCCCCTGCCAATTGGACTCTAACCAGAGCAGCTATTATGGTCTGCAGGAGATGGGGGAGCTGAGGGGAGGGTGGCAGCAAAAGAAGGGGGCCCAGCGGCCAATGACCTTCTCTATCTCTTTCACCATCGCTCCAGATGGCCGCGCTGCTTCCATCTATCGCAGCCTTTATTCCTCTGATTCCATGTGCTCTTCCTGTCTTCCCCAGTGCCGCCGCTCATCCAGCCCTTCGACATCCCCTCTACCTCAGTGGGGAAGCTCATGTACATCGCCTGCGTGGTTTCATCCGGGGACATGCCCATACGCATCACCTGGCACAAAGACGGCCAGCTCATAGTGCCAGGCTCCGCCTCTGGCGTCGCAATAGAGACCAAAGAGTTCATGAGCTCCCTGCAGATCTCCAAGGTGACACTGAAGCACAACGGGAACTACACCTGCATCGCCAGCAACGCCGCAGCCAACGTCAGCTGGGAGAGACAGCTGATTGTCACCGGTAAGGGGCGGAGCGAGTGTCTGAAGCATGCCAAGTGAGCCGCAGTTAACCCTCACCGTCTGTGTCCTGCTCTCAGTGCCGCCCCGGTTTGTGGTTCAACCCAACAACCAGGACTGCATTTACGGAAAAGCTGGAGTTCTGAACTGCTCAGTGGAGGGTTATCCGCCTCCGAAAGTCATGTGGAAACACGCCAAAGGTAACATTTGCTGCCGCTTCCTCACGCACATCCTTGGGGGGGAACGCAGACCTTTACGTTCTTTATGGTGTGCTTTCATCTACAGGTGTTGGAAATCCACAGCAGTATCACCCCGTCCCCCTCACCGGCCGCATCCAGATCATGTCGAACGGCTCCCTGCTCATCCGACACGTCCTTGAGGATGACCGAGGCTACTACCTCTGTCAGGCCTCCAACGGCGTTGGCTCAGACATCAGTAAAAGCATGATCCTGACTGTAAAGAGTGAGTGTCAGTCAGCTTTCCAGTTGGCTCAAACACTTTCCCTTTTTTTCCACACATCTCCTGGATGGTAGAGAGATGAGTGTAAGAAGCACTCACTCTTGCCCCAGGCTGTTTCGGCCTGCGCTGAACACCACAGAACCTTGTCTCTGTCCTCCACACCGATAACCAGGGGTAACTTAGCTATTGATTTCTGTATTTCAGCTGTCAGTTTGTGTGTTATTAAATGTTTTGCGAGGAAAAGGGAAGGTGCTGGATCAATGATAAAAACAAAACCACGGGATCCCCATTCGATCAATAACCCAGATGTAAGATACAGAAAGGAAAAGAGGAGAAATCTTGGATGAAATGGGCAAAGAGGCTGTGAAGTAAGGGAGCCGCTGAAGCTTGAAGCATGAAATGACAACAGGGAATGTAGTGATATCCATACGTCTGGGTTATATCCACAGCTCCATTCCCTCATCTTATTATCCCATATAAGGCTATTCATTACTCTGACACATT